CTCTCTCTCTCTGTGTTTGTGTGTGTGTGTGTGTGTTTGCGCGCCGCACGCGTATGCAGATGCTGTGTATGGGTGCTTGCAAAAGCGCGATCACAGCAACTTGCAGCAGGCACATCTTCGTCCATGGCTGCCGCACTGGAGCAGGGGGAAACGGTGTACACGGACAGTGACAAAGGTACTGAGCGCCTTCTGTTGCCACCTCTCTCTCTCTCACTGCGTGCTTCACATTGGCTAAACACGACTCCCTGAAGAAAGCGTGCTCTCACCCAGTGGCCTGCTCGTGCACTGTGTGACATTTTGCGACAGTGCTATTATGTAGTACTTGGCGTAACACGGGAAGGTCCGCTCCTGTTACATCGACAGTAACACTTCAATCCGCTCTCCTCATCGCTCTCTCTCTCTCTCTCTCTCTCTCTCTCTCTCTCTCTCTCTCTCTCCATATTTTTATTGATTGCACTCTGTCATGTGTGACTTGAAGGGTCTGCCATATCCGGGCAGATACATGCCGTCGGAGCAGCGCCCTTACTTCCTGATGGGAGGGGGAAGGCGTTTCTCCGCTTGCAGCTCGTGATCGGCCGCTTCACTTCATCTCTCTTCTCCGTACTCGCAGCCTCCTGGCTTTCCTGAGTTGGCCCCATTCGTTGCTGCTGTACAAGCTTGCACGTCAAGAGTTCGATTTGCAGAACGAAGGAGTATCTCTTTCTCGCCAGCTCACTTTCCTTAGTCGGCCACTTCACTTCACCGTGTGTGGGACGTCTCTTGCAGACGAATCATCGAGCCCGGCATGTACGGCCTGTGCTTTATGGACTTCACGCGTTAGAACCACCACTCCGGCGCTCAGGAGCGAGGAATAGCCTGAGCAATCACCTGAGGGAATAGCCTTTTTCTTTCTCTGCGGGAATTTGGCGGCGGTTTCGTTGAGCGGGAAATGAGTGGTTGAGCCGTCGAGTGTTCATTTTTGGAGTTTCGATGAGAGCCTCTTTGAGCTTGAAAGGAGTGGTTGAGACATTGAATGCCCGCGGTTATACTCACTCACTCTTTTGACATATCTATTTTTGGCGGTATGCTGCCGCGTTTTCGCGCGGCATTCGTTCCACTTTACCCGCCGCGATTTCGGGCCGCTTTGTCCAATACAGACCTTGGCGCCGAATTCGCGGTAGCTATTTTCGAATTCGCTATGGCGCCAGTAGCCTTCAACAAATTGAACTTCCACTTTTCGCGCGGGAGTCGCAAATTTCGCAACCCCGCCCAGTGATGTTAGCACCCGCCTGCATCGTTTTCAACTTTTCACTATGTATAAGTAGCGCTCACAGTAGAACCACGCTGGTGACGCAGCAACCTACAGCTCACTCCGTACAGCAGAGCCGGCGTTTTATGTTTCTGCTACACAATGATCTTGAAATATTGGTCACAAGGCAGTACCCAAAACCTCTCTCTCTCTCTCTCTCTCTCTCTCTCTCTCTCTCTCTCTCTCTCTCTCTCTCTCTCTCTCTCTCT